CTTGCCATGCAAGAATACTTAATAATTTGTTCGCTGTTTCAATTCCTTCAGTGTTGAGGAGTCATTCACAACCTTGGGGAAAGCTTCAATTCTGAATAGCAAAAAAGAGAGAGAAAGCACACCGGCCTAATGCAATATTTTAGACACCTTGATGTTTTGAGGGACAAGCTCTCTTTTTCAACCCTGAGGAAGAGGGCTTGTCCTTCTAAATGCTTACGTACACTCACTGCACTTTGTTGTGATATGCTGAAGAGGTCTTTATATCAGTTATCCAGTTTATGGAGATGCAAACAGTCTCTGTTTATGGGATGTAATTATGTACTGTGCCCCTCTGATTTTAACGTTTTTGTGTATATTCCTATGTATTGTGGTAATAAAAAGGTGTATGAGGAGTTGCTCTAGGCCAGTGCTCTCTTATTTTCAGTATTCAATAGTGTTCATGACCCTGAAGCTCTCTCCAAGCTGCGGAAATCTTCAAACAATGCAAAAAAGACAAAAAGAGGATATACTAGCCTTCTGAAAACTCTTCAGTACAACTTTATTAATAAAATACTTTACATACTCACAAAGGTTCTTGACAAACAGCATATAAAACACAGCATCCTTCCAGTTCCAGATCCCCTCAAACCACCAGATGCAGATGACCAGCTGATGGACCTGTTTAGTAACTGTTAGGGATCCAGGTATGACCAGAAATGTGTGGACTGACACAGGGAAGTAGCAGGCTTCAGGAACACAGGCGTAGTCAGGCTGGAGAGGTGGAATGGTCAGGCAGGTCATAAGGTACTGTCAGGCACCCCCCCGGCGGGATCTCTAGTGACCCACAGAACAGGATTCCCCAGGGCGCGGAGTCTAAGCCCCAGTCTGCATTTTCACCAGAGCCCCTGATGGTGGGGATGGACTTGGCGCAGGACTGAGACCAGGTCGCGGCCCCTGAGTGCACCCAACTGTGGTAGAGGGGTCCGCCGAGGGTATGTACCAGGGGAAAGCCTGATGTGAAGGGGCTGGCAGGTTTGGACAGTAGTGACTAGATCCGTGTGGGATGGATGGATCGTCTGGGTAGCGCCAAGCGTAGTCAGGCAGGCCAGGTCAGCAACGTGCGGGCAGTGAGGTTCCGGAGGAGCAGGCAGGGTTACAAGCTGGGTTCAGTAACTCACATGCAGCACGGTACAGAGGATCAGGCAGAAGGATGGTCAGGCAAGCCAGGGATTCAACAGGAGACGGTCAGCAGAGGTAAGGATCAAAGCAGGGTCAGCAACTAGGCAGGAACACAGGATACCAGGTACAGGGGCTCATGGGAAACATACACCAAGGCACTGATCACAGGCCTGGTCATTCCTTAAATACACCTCCTGCAATCAGCCCCAGGTGTTGGCTGACTGCAGGAGTGAGCTTCTGGCTGCTGAGAGCACCCGCTGGTCAGCCCTGGTACTGCAGCCCACACGGCAGGTGAGTCCCACCACCAGTGCTGAGTCCATTCCTGACAGTAACCTTCTGTCACTGTCCAAGCTGTGCACAGAGTAATGGTTTGCAATGGCTAGGACTTCTTCAGAGAAGACCTAGCCCATGAAATGGATTGGATGTTCTTATTCAAGAAGACAGAGATAAATATTAGACATATGATGAATTCCAATCTTGAGTTCATAGATCTGTGCAACATAATCCTAAAACACTGTATTTCTGAAGCCTTTTGTGTTTGGTAAAATACGGCATGTTATCTAACATACTGTATGTGTGCATAGAAATCTGTACCATGTGTGTTTGTTGGAATTTGGTCTGCTCATAAACCAATGTCTGAAACCAGTTTTCCAATTTTGGAATGTTTTAGTAAAACTGTGCATACAGTACCTGGTGCTTTTCGAAAACGTTAGAAAGCTCCACAGAGAGGTTAAAATAGTCCCTTAGGAACCATGTAATTGGGCAAGCTTCAAAGTTGCTTTTCTCAGTTGTTTAAAAGATTCAATTTCATTCAACTCGCACACCCACTCTACAACTGAATGAACCTTGTTAGACCCCCATTTTCTCACTATGATAGTACATGCTGTCATCAAAACATGATGTAAGGGATCTTTTATTGATTGATTAAATCCAGCTTGAAAGGATCCATAGAGTAATGTGAGAGTCTGCTGCAGGGGCGGACTGACCATTTGGAAACTCGGGCACTGCCTGGGGGCCTGGGGTCAGTAGGGGGCCCCATGAGATGCCCCTGGTAGCTTTTTCATAGGCTTTTTTGAGTTTGCGCAAGGACACAGGGGCCCCATGATCCCCTATTGCCCGGGGGGCCCATGAGTTGTCAGACCACCCCTGGTCTGGTGTAATATCCATGCCCATGATTGAGCTATAAATTTGCAGGATGGTGTCCCAGAAGTAAGTGAACATTTGCTCCATATGTGAGTTCTTGTGTCGCTCTCTTTGAGACTTTTATTACATGTTTATCGGCATACCAGTTTTATGATATGTACAACTGCAGAGCACCTTTACTATCTAGCTATGACCCTGTGGTATCTTTCCTGAAGTCGAACAGATATGGACGTTCTATGTGATAGTGTAAACACCTTCTCCAAGTCTTCAAAGGGTATAGATTGCCCCAAATCTCTCATTTAGCTATGCAATATGGGTAACAATGCAGATAGGAGAGACTTGTATATGATAGATACTACATGGGTTGGTCATTGTTTCTGAAGAAGATACTGTTCAAAAACGTGTATGCGGTCTAATTTTCAGGCTGGAGGTTCTGGCTGACAAAAGCACAACATTGCCGCTTCCCTGATGGCATTATATGGGTGGTCATGGGGAAACATTTTTTTCTGGTAAGAACATTCCAGCCACACATAACGCACGTGTAATGTGAAAGCGTGCTGTCATGCGTTCTTTTTTAAACGTCTATTTCAATTCAGTGCGCTTTTTGTGATGCGTTAAAGAGTGGTAGAACATGTAGCGCAAAAATAAAAACATGGCGTGCAAAAATAGATCACGTCATTTTTTTTTCTCCAGCACTGCGTTGATGTGAACTGACGCTGTAGGATGAAGTGAAAATGTACCACCTACAGGAGGGGGGCCATTAAAGTCACAGACTGGGCAACCTGAAAAACTGGGTCCAATGCCATTGAATCATGGGAGGTTTTCATCTGTGGAGGAGGAGAGGCCGGACACAGAGCGACCTTTCTTGATTTCATTTTTTGAATGCAAACAAAGCTGAGCTGCTGCTGATAGTTTATCGAGCAAACAAACACAGAGGGTTGAACCTTCCGAAGCCAAGCCAATTGGTCTGTGGTTGTTTGTGAGGGAAGTTGGGGGGTGGGTTGATCAAGGTGCCACCTACATATTTTTATTATCAAAGGAAGACTGGACCAAAATTTTTTTTCTTTAAATTTACCTGTATGTTTCTTGTCATTACTATGACCTACCACCAAAAAACAGCCCAAAAAATTCTCTTCTGGACAATCACAGTGATACCCCATACTGATTGTGTATATTATTCGATGTTTGTACCCATAGTAGGGCCAAGAAACAGTAGTGCACATTACACTTTATTATGCTACCTGAAACACACTGACATTGATACTAAATAAAAACAGCTATTTTTCAACCCTTCCTAAAATGCACTAACCTGACCTTTGATTCTAATCCTGACCTTTGACCAAGGGGTGGACTGACCATTCAAGCACTTGGGCACTGGGTCAGTAGGGGGCCCCATGAAATGCCCCTGGTACCTTTCATTGGCTTTTTCAGAGGCTTTTTTGGGTGTGGGCGAGGACACAGGGACCCCATGATCCCCTATTGCCCGGGGGCCCCATCAGTTGTCAGTCCACCCCTGCCTTGACCCTAACCTTGACACTGACTGAGGTCAAACCCTCATCATTCTATTTTATCCTAATTTGATTTATTTTGTTTTGGTTACAAAGTTCTCCTCTAGCATGGAGAAAAAATTACAATGTATCTTTTTTCTCCATTTAAGAAGAAAAAGGCCCCTTTCAGATAGGGCGGATCTGCCAGTGTGATCCACCTGCTCTGCGGGGGATCTCTCCGCTGATCCCTGCTGAGCAGGCATATGACAGGTCTCTATCCGGTCTGTTGCTGCAGAGTGGACACAGACACTGCCCGCTGATTTCAATGCGATGGTCGGACGGAAATGGACCACCTGTCCTTTTTCACCTGATTGTCATCCTATCCGCTGGTCGGATGGGGAATGAATCCCCATCAGTCTGTTTTTGGTGTACAGGATCAGATCGGATGCTAACGGGTGTCAGTGGACTATTTTCTGCTGACACCCCTCAGTCCATAGAAGTCTATGGATTGACCAATCAGGTCTGCCTGAAAAATGAACAGATAGACTCCATCGGTCCGCTCGCTTGAAAGGAGGCAAAGAGTAAAGGAGAGGGCTGTACAGAGACTGATCACTGTGATAGCCAATCATAGGCTATCACAGTGATCATATAATTGACGGCTGGTTCTTTCAACATTTGATTGTTAGTACGAGACCTGGAGCTGTCAGTGATAGCTCGTTCTCTGTGCTGGGAGCATGCTGTGCACCATCCTCTCAGAACAAACACAGGTACACACATGCAGTCCCACAGAAGAGGACCACTTCTGTGATGCCGCAAATATGTGTACCCTCAGCAGAAAGGGGTTAATATCCAAGGAGTTTCAGAATTATTAGCCGGAATAGAGGATCTTATCTACTAGCGAAGGGTGACTGAACTATAAATGTATTCATCCTGAGAAAATGCAATCAATGGGGAGTACATAAACCATGTGCACATGGTTTACGTAGTAAACTAGGTCCAAAGTTGCACATTTTTAAAGCGGATGTAAAGGTAGAAGTTTTTTTACCCTAAAATGTTACTAAACGCAGGACCCTGCATTCACTATATCTGGTCTCCCGTGATAACCAGAGCACGGAAATGCAATTATTTTAGTAAATATAAACTGCTAAATACCTTTTCACATCAGCAGTTAGAGCAGTCTTGTGACTTCTATCAGGGGTGGACTGACAACTCATGGGGCCCCCGGGCAATAGGGGATCATGGGGCCCCTGTGCCCTTGCCCAAACTCAAAAAAGCCTATGAAAAAGGTACCAGGGGCATCTCATAGGCCCCCTACTGTCCATGGGCCCTCGGCAGTGCCCGTGTTTCCAAATGGTCAGTCCGCCCCTGACTTCTATCAGTGTCCAGCAGAGCACATGTTAAAGCTTATAGGAGTTTTCATTCTGCTCTAGGAGGATGCAGAACCCCTGACATCTGTCTGGACAGTGCTGATTGGCCCTGTGCTGATCACATTCACTCTACCAAGAAAAAAAAAAAACCTTTCTAGTAATACACACCGAACTGAGCATGTGCAGAGTGCCTCCACATGATATGTCTTATCAGGAGATAAGAGGGGGACACTAGACGAAGGGGATGATCAGACAAGTCAAGATCAAACAGCGTTTTACACAATGCAGAGGATTAACCCCGTAGGGTCCACAGTGCATATAACAAGCATGCTTTACTGCATATAAAGACTGATTATTCTGTTGTGGGTTTAGTAACACTTTAGTGCATTCTTTGCATTTATGAAAAAAAAAAACCTGCGTACAGCTCCCCCCCCCCCGCCCTCCTTATACTTATCTGAGCCTGATTTCAATCCAGTGTTGTGCCCAAGAGCAGCAGTTCTCTCTACTCTCTCTCTCCTTACTGGACATGGAGGCAGCAACAGAAGTCATTGGCTCCTGTTGCTGTCACTTACAGAGAGGAGAACAAAATTTCCATTTCTCCTTTTAGGCTTGAATGTTTTTTCTTTTCTGATGCTTTATAATGAGGAGAGTGCTGTGAGTAAATGTCCTCAAGCATCTGGCTGGACCACAATGGGGATTCCTATCTTAGAATTGATCACTCACCTTGAGATGTGGTGGTGAAAGGAGAATTCATATGAGCTGTAACAGGTGGAGGGAGTCAGAAGCTTGACCTGCATTAACCATTGGCATCATATGCTGTTTATGACTTTTTTGTTATGTGCCTGCATTTGCTAGGCCTGTATTTGTGGCTATTTGGTGATGGAGATTCCATCCAGTGTGTAAACGCAATTCAGAACTTCTCTTCGACACACAGTGTGGACTGCGCACTAATATAGGAGACTTTTATATTCTTTATTGTGATATGTTATATGGCTTGATAAATATATAATGCAGCTCTAGAAGTTCATAAAGTGACACACACATAAATCGTGAAGCGCAAAGTGATCGCAACATAATCAAAGTGTACCGTCATATATTGACGTAAAAATTGTGACGTTTTTAACACTAGTGACACTGGTGTATAATTACTAAAAGTATTGACAATGAAAATAAATAGAATCAATAAATATGGAAATGCATAAAACAGTCTAATAAGTTCCGTGAAATCCGTGCACGTGACTTCCGTGATAAAGATCTGTAGTGTGATTCCACTCACCAGAAGCGCAATAATATTATTATTATTATTTTTATTATACAGGATTTATATAATATATATTTATATATATTCACTCCGCCCCTTGAAGACGTCAAGTGACGAAACGCGTTGGGCCTGGCCTAGTGGACGTGACGTTGGAACGTTCCTCCCAGCTGTCGGCTGTATTGATCGCAGTGCAGGAGGTTCGTCCCTTGGTTTTTCCCTTGTGGATGTGGCATTTTAGAGGCTGTCATTGTTGGTGTCGGCTAGACACCTTCTTTGTGAGTGCAATATTTTAGTAATAAAATTTTACTGGTTTTAAACGTACTGCTCCATCATATCTCTTCTTATTCCTTGAGCTTTGCCCATGCTATTGGAAGATCATTTGCTGCTTAGCTGTTCCATATGTGCTGATTGGATCACTATTGGTTGCTGTTCCTCTACTGGGATATCCTGCAGATCATCGCTCCCAGAGCAAAATGCTATCATGCTGGTTTATAATATAATCAGCATATAGCTCTGGTGAGTGTATTCATTTCATCTGGTGTTGGATTTGCACATGGGTGTTTGTTTTCAAGATTGACATTAAGTTGATATTGGACTATCACTGTTATGGTGGCTGGACTTATGTTTATATTTATGAATTCATTTATTTTTATTATTTATCCTTGCATGTTTTGTGAATAATTAGCGCACTTTTTATTTGTACAGGATTTATATAGCACCAACAGTTTGCGCAGTGCTTTACAATATAAGGGAGACCGTACAATTACAATACATTTCAGTACAGAAGGAATAGGATGGCCCTGCTTGTGAAGCTCACAATCTAAAGGAAGGAGGAGGTGATACAAAAGGTGATAGCTGCGGGGGATGATCTGGCGGAGGTGATTCAAGTACAGTTCTTAGTTGGAGGTGGGGTAGGCTTCCCTGAAGAAGTGAGTTTTCAAAGATCGCCTAAAGGCAGACAGGGTGGGGGCTGACCAGACATGCTGCGGTAGGGAGTTCCAGAGGATGGGAGAGGCTCTGGAGAAGTCCTGGAGGCAAGCGTGGGAGGAAGTGATGAGGGAGCTAGAGAGGAGGATATCATGGGAAGAGCGGAGTGGGCGATTTGGCCGATATCTGTGGATGAGGTTGGTGATGTAGCTAGGGGCGGTGTTGTGGATGGCTTTGTAAGCTGTGGTTAGTATTTTGAATTTACGTTGGGTTAGTGGAAGCCAGTGAAGGGATTGGCAGAGAGGGGCAGCAGTCGCTGATCGATTGGTAAGGTGTAGAGTCTAGCAGCAGCATTCATAATAGACTGAAGGGGGGATAGCCTGTGTAACGGTAGACCAGTGAGGAGGGAGTTGCAGTAAACGAGGCGGGATATAACCAAGATGCAGATGAGTTGTTTTGTGGTGTCATTGGTCAGGAAGGGGCGGATTTTGGAAATGTTTGCGAATGTATATCATTTATCCTCAGTGGTCATCTGGGTTCAGGTAAGAAATAGAAATCATTTGGCACGCTGACAGCATACAAGGGATAACTCCAGACCTCACTCACAGGACCCTCTCAGTACACAAGAACAGCTCCATAATACTTCTCCACCACAGGACAAATAGCCAAAAAGAGGATGTTCTCCGCCTTAAATGGCTCGCAAACACAAGCCACAAAACGAAAAGTGCTGATAGTGTAGTATTTTTATTATTAAAGTAAAAGGAAGAATCCAAAAAAACAACTGTCAGCACACTTACAGAGACAAAAATGGCCTCCAGCCTTCCATGTGGACTCTGCAGCGTGATGTCAGTGCTGCAAGGCTCCTCTCTGACGCGTTTCGTGCGCATGCACGTTGTCAAAGGTTGTTATATATTCATTTCTGTTTACTAGCACAAAATGTTTTATCTGCATTTCTGTGCCCATGGTAAAAAATCTCATAGTGCTGTTGCAGCTTTTCACTTTTGGTAATCTATAAACACAAGTGCAGTTTTTGGTAATAGTCACATTGAAATTTATTGTAGGCACTGCCTAGAACATAGGAAAAGACACACTCTTATTACTTGGATATAGACAAAGTTCATCTTTTAAAATACATTATCCCTCTCTAAGTCATTGCATTTTGTACTCTGAAAAGCCAGTAACATGCCGACCGGCCCATGCAGATTTACTGCGGGCTGGTGGCTCTCCTGCATGATCACATACGTAATCTGGGATTTCCAGGTAGGGGGCACACTCACGCCCCTGCCTACCTGGCTGTGCTGTCCTGCACAACAGCACAAGCTGATCAGCACGTCTGGCCTTTGATTTATGGCCAAGACCCACTGATTGGCTGAGTGAAATGACAGAAGAGAGCCCTGTGTTGATAAGTCAGTTTCCACCCAATGCCAGTTAGTGCAGAATTGCCCACCACAGTATCACAGTCCCACTATAAGTCACTGATCACCACCATTACTAGTATAAAAAAATAAATAAAAATTCCAGTATACATCACAGGGCTCTCTACAGACAGCAGCGATGTGCCATATTTTTTTTTTTTTACTCCCCGAAAAGCAGGGAGGAAAAACCAGCACATTGCTTAGTAAAAACAGCACATGGTACACACAGTTAACATTGTTAGGCACACAGTGCCTACGGTGACAGTATATATTATTATCCTTGATCAGTGTATTAGTGTAACTGGTAATGTCAGTGTCAGTTAGTTTCCAATTAATGTCAGTTAGTGCCGAATTGCCCACCACAGTATCACAGTCCCACTATAAGTCACTGATCACCACCATTACTAGTATAAAAAATAAATAAATACAAATACCAGTATACATACCATCGCTTGTAGATACTATATATTTTGGTCTAAATTTATGAAATTTGTTTTTTTTTTTTTTTTTTTTTTTATTGGATATGTTTTATTACAGAAAGTAAAAAATATTGTTTATTTTCAAAATGTATTTTTTCTTTTGTTTATATAATAAAAAAAAAACTGGTGATCGAATACCACCAAAAGAAAGCTCTATTTGTGTAAATAAAAAGATATAAATGACACTGGGTACTGCGGTACAATACTAGTTAAAGTAGCACAGTGCTGAATAGCAAAAAATGGTCTGGTCATGAAGGGGTAAAATCTTCCAGAGCTGAAGTGGACAAAAAGGAATATAGTTGGTGAAAAAAGCACTTGTGAGTTTAACCAATTTTTATATAACAAACAACAATAAAATACACTATTTGTTGACCACAAATCAAATGTACATAAGCATTTATGCAGTGCTAAAAAATACAGTGAAAATGCCCACATAAAAAATGTTAATGTCTATACAAAAGAAAGCAGAAATAGATAAATACCTCAGTCTCTAAGAAAGTCCTAACACTGTCCACTGTGCATGGAGGAATCCATGCTGCACCCACAGTCAAAGATCCAATCCTCTTACCAGACAATGTTTACCTTCAAATTATAGATCGGTCAACTGCGCTTTTGAGATTATTCACTCGGACTCTCACATTCTCTAGCTTTAGCACATACAGTTGCAAGAAAAAGTATGTGAACCTCTGGGGATTATGTGGAGTTTTGCATGAATTGGACATAAAATGTGTTCTCTGAACGTCATCTAAGTCACAACAATAGAACACAGTCTGCTGAACATAATACTACACAAACATTAGATGTTGCCATGGTTTAATTGCTCATAACATGTAAACA